GTCGCCCTTGAAAACTGAAACAATTGATTCAAGTGGTTCACTGTCCTGCGCCTTTGGTTTTCTTTCCTGGGAGTTGGTGGAAAAAAACATACTTTAGCCTCCCAAGGGCCTCCCAAGACCATGAAGAAACACACTCAGGTAAACTACCACGACCTGAACAGTACGTGACCCTTTGATATCCCAGGATGAGGTCACTTAGGCCTGTACAAGGCCACAAACAGAGACTCCAAAGAGGTCACTTTGAAGGTCCTGGTATATAGGTGTTTTGGTGAGGTGTTTGAGGATGAGTTCAGGTGGGCGCTGAGGGTCCCTGAAACCAGGTTCAGGTGGGCGCTGAGGCCATGGCAGGCCATTGGATGGATTTGTGGGAGACAGGAACAGCCAATCCCCTCTAAAGATGTAGCTGCAGTCTTTGAAGTACTCTCGAAGTGGGACATGGCATGACCCTTATGAAGGAGGTATTCTGTCTATGTTCAACGGTACCGATTGAGACGTCCACATGTGGTCATCATCCAGCACGTGAAGGTGATACTGACAGAGGAGTCCTATATACATAACTTGGGCCTCTATTCTATTACCAGCAACAGTGGATGATGTGGATGATGATGATGATGATGATGATGGTGGTGGTGGTGGTGGTGGTGGTGGTGGTGGTGATGGTGATGGTGATGGTGATGGTGCTGGTGGTGCTGGTGCTGGTGGTGCTGCTCCTGCTGCTGCTGCTGATGATGATGATGATGGTGCTGGTGGTGGTGGTGGTGGTGGTGATGATGGTGATGATGATTGTTTACTGACTGACTCAGGCAATAGGACAGACCCCATATATATATATATAATATAACTTACCTTTGAAAGATCTATATACGATTCATGCCTAGCTTATCAAAGAACCTGAAGTTGAGTCACTAACAACAGATGCTGGACGGTTTCTTTCTATCTCTGATATGCCGATTGAGGAGAAAAGAACCTCGTCCGTGGATTTTCTTGCTGTGAGATACGTTCTCTCGCTGCCTTGGCTCTTGCAATATGTTTGGCTCCAGAGTCGCATTTGCAGCTCACATGTATTAACAAATTGTTCTTCTGGGCTCCTGCGCAATCATGGGTTGCTTGGACTGAAGTTCATTCGCAGCTCGTGGGGATTCGTAGATCGCTTTTCCTTGGGCCGCCGGCCTGGTGAGATGTCCCAACCGAGTGGGACAAGAAGCGCCATCCACTGCTGAGGTGCATGGCTCAGACACCTAAAAATGGGCGTTGAACAGTTTTTTTTTTTTTCAAAGGGGTGTTTCAGCTGGGCCGAACGAACATCCCCCCAGGATTTCCAGCTGGGCAGTCTGATGATCCCAAACAGCAGTATCCGGTGCTTGTAGGGAGTCTGTTGCGGCTTCAATGTTCCACCCCACCCTGGATGGGTGCTTGTTTTTAAGTGGAGAAGCCACGGTTCTTCAACATATCCAATCAGCAAACCGGAAGCTTTGGACGATGTGAGGTCTCTATATAAGTTGATTGTAATTACAGGTTGTAGTTTTGGTCGTTGGATGCTTTGACAGCTCCTGAGCGAGTGGGCGAAACTAAGCCGACATCTACACACACTTGAGAAGGTTGCTCCGTGGAGCTTGTCTTCAGGCTATTCGCGGTGAGCATTAGCCCTTTAAGTGATTACTTAGCCCTTGACTTGACTCAACAGTATGAAGTGAAGAGTCCGCTCACTTGAATGTTTCAACAAGATGGGTGAATGATGGTGAATGTGTAGCTCCTTGGGACAACTTCGAACTCCGTTTCTGGGAACTTCAGCGGGTACCCAGTCAGGATGAGTTGGTTTGCATCAAGATCTGAGATCCATTCGTTGAGGGGGTCTCTCAACCACCCCGGTCGGCGGTGACCGTTTGGTCTCGTCCGTGAGGTTGTGGCGCTTCCTCCGTGGATGCCGCCGAACTCGCCAAGCCAAGAATGGATGTACGGGTGCGAAGCTGAGGGTGATCGAGGTCATGAGGTCATGAGGTCGGCGATCTGCAGCCAGATGGAAGAAGTTCACAAAACAGATGTTGATGTCAGTGGGTGGTTTTGGTTGGGTGGTTTTTGTTGGGGTGAGTGTTTCATGGCGCCAGTGCTTGGAGGAAGGAGGAGGGAGGTGAGAGCATCAACTTGGTAGATGATGGTAGATGCCCTTAGAGTCTTATAGAGATACCATGATTTAGATTAGATGCCCTTCAGATGCCATAAATCTTTGGGTGCTACTCATGATTGAATCTGGGATGTGACTCCAGATTCGTGGTTATTTGGCAAACCTTTGAGGGAACAAAACACGAACTGACTCCTCGTCAGTCTTTGCCGGTGTTCGACATGACTTTTGGTCACGAGCAGAACCAGATCCTTGGAGTTGTTTCAGGGTGCCCAGTGCACACTGCTCGCTGTTGTAGATGTTGTAGGCTCTCGTTTGTGATGTCCCATTCTCTGGACAGTTTCTTGCAGGAGAGCTTCTTTTTTTAGTTCGTTTCTGGTTCCGTTGGTGTAGACATGGCCAAGCCAACTCAAGAAACCTGGTAGGTGAACAACTGATAAGTCTTTCCGTGCTCGTTTTGGTGTAGGTTGTTTTACCCCTCTCTCCACCTTCTCTGATAGAATGCCCAGAGACATACAACCCATCAAACTATTGACCTAACAAGTCGTGTGCATGGACTACCTGGGCATACAGCATACCTGGCATGGCCATACCGGCTCGAACGTGAAGCCCGAACTCGACCGGGATGGCAAGAACGTGTCCACGCTGTCCACGTGGGCTTTCCGCAGGGATTCTAGAGGAGATTCTAGACCTTTTTTCCCTATAACCATTTATTGACCTGGTTTTTGTATTGTAAAATCCTTAGTTGATTCGGGATTCAGCCTATTAAGTTAATGGTTGTTGGAAGCCGGTTCCGTAGATCCAGTGACTCCAACCCTCTTATCAATCCGAGCTCGGGCTCTGGGGGTCGGACTGAAACGAAAAGGGGGGCCGGTGTCCAAACCCTATTTGTTGGTTTCTGGCCCAGATTCTTAGGGCATGATGTGAACATGTGTTTTTTTTTCAGGTGTCCTGGGAGCTGCAAATCCGTAGAGCTCCGTGGCCGCGGACAGCCGAGACGAACACCAGGCCTTGGTCGACAGCCACCAGCGACACCTCATCCGCTTGCGGCCCGGGCGCGTGGCTTCGCGTTGTGAAGAGCTGAAGAAACCGAATCGGAGCGAAGACTTTAGTGCCTTGGGCTTTTGGAGTGGGCGATCCTGGGCTGGTGTTCTTACTGGGAGCATCAAGGACCACAACTCAATTCGTTTTCCTAAACTCAGGAGTCTATTGACAGGTTCTCAACACCATCAGCTAGTACCCCCAGCCTTAGCGGCTCAGTAGCGGTGGCGCATTCTGGTCGCCGGTGTTGCGAGGGCCGGAGTCACATTCGACCCGAGGCTGCTGGATGTGTTTGTTGAACCGACATCATTACTTAACACTCGGGTCCAAGGCCGGTCAAAAGCTTGGAACATGCGCCAGCACAGTGCCTGAGACAAGTTCCGAAAGATTGGGATAGCTGGGTTCATGACTCCGAGGCCTGACACAGAACGCCGGACACACGAATTTGCTGGATGTTGTTGTTGGAGTGGAACTGGCTGCTGGATCCGCTCCCACAAAGGCTCCAACAATTGGTTTTGAATGGAAAAACGATGAAAAACGACCCATGGGTCCAACGTCGGATTGGACCAAACCGTTTCCAGGGTGGCTAGCTGGGGTGTGTTTTGAAGGGCCGGAATGACTCCGGTGCCACAGACTACGACCACACAAGCCTCAAGCATGCTTGGTGTCGGCCGATTGTCGGCCGTACTGGGGAGAAGCGAAGGTACCGATGTTTCGGGGTCCGGTCGGAGTAGCTCTTTCGATATGATTGGGGAAGGGGGCATGAATTGTTGGAATGCTGTCCACGTGATTCTTTGGAAGCTTGGATTTGAAGTGATATCATGTCTATAGAGTTCTCTTCCGTAACTTAATGCTTATAAATGGGGCACTGAGGCCAAGTCGAGGATTAATTTCGATGACAACATTGACCTGTCCAGGTCGGTTTGGTATGCTTTTAGCCCTTTAGAATCCTTTAGATCCCTTTAGCCCCTTTGGTTCATAAGGGGCTTACTACCAATACTCTTCAGAAGATCCAGGGACAGGTCATGCGAGAAACAAAGACCAAAACGAGTCCTCATTGGTCCTCATCGATCATATCGATCATGAGTCGGAGTTCCTCATCCTTCAGTGTTCAATCAATCCCGATTCTCATCCTACTCTTCCTGGTCCTCGGGACGGTTTGATCAGACTGCCAAATTATGCAAATACTCACCGCTTGCCATGTAAATTATTCGTTGACCTCTCCCAACTCAAGTCGTTTCCTAAGAAGATAGAATCATCATGATCATCCATCATATGATCAAGAGTTTAAATGTGCTTTTTCGTGCTCAGATGCGCAACCCCTGGCCCTGCTGCTTTTGACATATGTTTCAATGGCCCCAAGTCCCTCTAGTCACTAGTCTATAGCCAAATTCTTGTAGCCATTCTATATATCGTCATGTCATGTTCGTGGTAAGAGTCGAGCCTTTAGCAGGTAATAACCTGCCTTTGGCTCAAAGCTGGGGGTGTAGGCTGTAGGAAGGAAAATTGTCGAAACGGGTCTTTTTAGAGTCCCTTCAGGGTCCGTCTGCACGCAGCAACCCGCTCCAGCATGTTAAATCATGCTCTTGGAAGGCTAGGGTGAAGATGGGTGGGGTGTGGGGTGTTTTGGGATGCGCACCGCACACGCGCTCGAACGCGCTCACCGAGGCGCGTTGCTGCCCATGCGTATCGTGGAGGACGAGACTGATTTCGATACGTCGGAGGAGATGGAGCATCGAAGTGCTCCAGTCGAATGATCGGGGTTCACCGCCTTGGATTCCGGCCCCCTGCGCCAATGGCGCGGATGGAGATGTGTTCCTCCAACAGTGTGGCGAACACCAGGGTTCTGAAACGGTTCTTGTGTCATGTGCTCTCTCATATAGACTCATCTGCTCTCATATGGCGTTTTCTTCAAGTTTGGGACGCTGAAGGCTCACGTGTCACGACCACCGGTCGTGCGAACCGTTGAACGGAGGGGGAAACGAAAAGGGCTCCCCTCTCCATCTCGGGGAGGGTCGTTTATGACATGGTTGGGCTAAGTCATAACACTTGTTTGCCTTTGTTGACATGTCATGTGAATTGCCAGGTCTCTAACTGCAATGTCATAGCTATTGAGTCAGGATAGCCCTCCATTTTGTTTCCTCGGGAGGCCTGAGGTGTCAGTCCCTACCATTTCGAGGATTGGTGATCCTGAGGGAAGAATGAACAACTACCTGGACCCTCGGAAGTACCCTAGAAAATGGGACATGACCCTATAGAAACAGGTACTTGTACCCATTTTCCAAGGTACTTTGAGACTCCAGGTATAACCAACTATAACTATAGTGGGCGTCAAACATATAGAGATCGAGTTCCCATGTGTTTCTGTACTGACCTCGATGCTCAAGAAAGACCAGATAATTTTAGTGTATACATCAATTTTGGATCAAATGTGTAAACATATCGATTAAACAAAAGAAAACATCAATGATAATGAACTTATAATATATAATATATGTCACTTATTCAATTTCATTCATGTTTATGTTGGCTCTTTTTCTTTTATTTGAGCCGCTCTTCGTGATTTCCATTGCCTTCAAGCACACCCAACACCAGAGACCCAACGATCTCCGAGGCTCATACAACACCATGCGCTGGCCGCTGCCGGTGTCTGACCACCACGTCCCGATGCCGCCCAACCGCAGCAGTCACGACCACCACTTGCTGCAGCTCCATGTGCCTCCCGGTGGCGAGCTGATGTGTACGTACGAGTGGACCGGCCGCTTCTGGGCGAGCCAGATGAAGCTCTCCCCAGACGCCAGATGAAGCTCAAAACCATAGGGATTTGAGGGTCCGACCCCTCCATATGAGGGTCCGGCAAAACCACCAACCAAACAGATCAGATGAAGCTTTTGTACTGTCCTCAGGGCCAAGATGTCGGGGCCAAGGGGTCTATCTTGGCCGCCTTGGCCAAGAAACCAGCTTCTTCAGTGGACGAAACTAACCTTTTCGGAGTCCTTTTAGTGACCTCCTTACAACCCGATGAAAACGATCACTTGGAAGAACCAGGAAGACCCAAACGCAAGAGACAGTAAATCAACGTAGCAGTACGATCCAATGCGTACCATGTTTGGCTGTTTTCAGTGGCAAATTTGCTCATGTCACGACTCAATTCTTGCAGCGAGTGACATGTCCTTTCCATCCCTTTCCATGTGTTTCCCCGTGTTCTTCCTAGAAAAGAAACGCGGGCTTCTTTTTCCCACCCTTGGGAACAAGCACTTGGAGACCAAAGATCACACATGTTGGTATCTTTGTTATGTGAACCTGGAGGTTTAAGTCCAGAGGAGCCCAAACCACATGAGTTCGCTTGATTGGTGCATGTTCATCTTGTTGTCCGAGGTGGAGTAGGAAACAACTCGCCTTCAGTCCCCAACTTCTAGAAGGATCTGATGTTGTTGACATCAAACCTGCTGTTCTCCCAAATTCTGTTGCATGATCGGATCTGAGTGCACACACTCAGGTACATGGGCAAGATTCAGCAGGAGACCAGACTTCTGACCACCGAAGGGACAGGAGTTAACCGTTCACATCCGTTCACCACATAATTGCTAGACCCTAGGGCTCCAACTACCTCTTGAGAACGTGATTCGGGTGGGTGCCAGAGGGTCTATCTAACCTTCTGAGGATCCAAAAACACTCGTGGTGAAGTTGGGAACGTCATGTTGACCCACGAGGCATTGGGCAATGAAGCGGAGAACTCTGCAGTTTTGGGTGCCAGAGCCCACTGGTGGGTGGGGCCCCTGTGCTCCGGTGCTCGACGTTCTTTTGTGCGTCCGTTTTGTGCACCTTGTTTTAAGAAAAAACGCTACCGTGAAGGGCAGTTGCTGAGCAGAATTCAACACAGGACCCCGGGTGAAAGCTACATGCACAATCATGCATGTTCTTGATGCTCAGCTGTTTAAACTCCATGTCGATTCTCTGTGCTGTTTAGATGAAACCCACATCGAAACGTCCGTGTCTCGCTCCATGTCGTGTTTTGCGCAGGATCCGCATCACATCACCCGGGCTGCGCAGATCAAACTCGGCATGCACGAGTTGCGCTTAGCGCCCTGGACGGAGCGAGTCCGTCCGCGTGGGCTTGGGGGAGTGGCAAGGGTGGTGGTTTTGCAGTAGGGAGCATTTTTGATTGATTGATTGATGTGAACCTCTGAGATGTTGCAGAATGTTTTTTTTTTGGCTTGTACACTTGTGGACAGGACAAGCGTTTCGCTGGATGGCTTCTAGACATTCAAATTCTCATCATTTCTCCGGAGCCCCCACAACTGCTAGCTTGCCAACGTATACAGATGACATCACCTGGTTCTAGTAAAAAAGAATCCGCTGGTTCTTGAGTCAGTGACCTTTTTGAGGTCACAAACTGGCGAAAGGGTCACTGGGACTCCAAAACATCACGAACCGGTACGAACTGGTCCAGAAGCTGGCTATGTTCAATAAATGGATTCTGAGGGCCTTGGTACCCTGGGCTGACGCTGAACCTAACTCAGTTCTTGGACATGAGATCCAGAGGGCAAGGTCTTATTCAGCCCTGCGGATCAAGGATGATCAAGGATCAACGCACACACACACACACACCATGGGGGGTATGTTGCAAAATCTTGACATATTTGATGTGTGTCAATTGCTCGCTTGTTTTTGTTGTTTCTTGCGGGCGTGCCTTGGAGAGCGCGCACTAGCTGAAAACCCTTCAAAACACTAAATACCATGCAACATGTCAAAAAATCAACTGCTCTGCAGCCAATTGAAACCTATGTGCAGCGCATATGTTTCCATCTTGCCGTGCCCATCCATCTTCGTTGCCTCTATCAATGTGTAACACCAGCTCGACAGGATAACCTTCGGCTTAACCTTTCGCTGCCCGAGACCTTAAGTGCCATATATACGTACGTGCTTTTCGACCCCAAGAGCTTAAGTATACGAGGCAATAGACAAGTAGCGCCCATTCATATATATATATATGTATTATATTATACATATATCTACAGTGACATTGCTCACATGAATTCCATAGATGCCACCACCTGAGTTTTCTACAATCCACATTAATCTACATATAAAAAGCCGACTTGACATTGTGGGGGATGGGCAATCTGCTGGAATAGCTGAATATGACAACATGTTCAACTTCGTATATGGGATGGCAACCGAAGGACATTGCTAAAATCAGTCAGTGATGATGAAATTAATGATAAGCAAAACGAGAAGACCATAGTAAACATCGACGTTGGACTCCTGGAGATGTCAAGCAACAACGCAAAAACAATATTCGATTCTTTGAAGGGGGCGTGTTCCTTCCGAAGCCCTTTTGTTTTTAAAACCTATGCTTTTCATAAAGAAGGTGAAGCGCTGGTAGAAGACGAACATGGTTTGACAACAATATCAGCAATAAGTTGCTGAATTGCTTCGGCTAGATCACAAAGCTGCTTTTACAACATCACAACTTCAAAATAAACGACCTATGAGTTGGTAAAGTTCAAAGGTGTCAGGGTTCATGGGGTTCATACTGTAGTGTAAGAAGTGAACCTTTACAATCCGAAGAATGACAATGATACAGTAGCAGAACATTCGTAATTACAGAAGTGGATGATGCTTGGATGTTGGTAGTGGAGTTGGGCAATGGCCGGTGGACAATAAACACCTCAACTTCCAAGGAGGCGTGCAAATTTAAGTTCAACAGATTCATTAAGATACCCAAGATGCACAAATAACAACATACGCATTGGAGATGATAGGGATACCAAAAGCATGTGTAAACGTGAAAACCATGAAGGCAACAAAGTTAAAGCTGCCATGTGTGAACTTCCAATATTAAATGTGGAAATATCATTTGGCTTTGTTGGAAGCATAGTGGCCCCAGTACTCAGCAAAGGCTGTCGTACAAGCCCTTAAAACGGTGCAACCGTGCCAGTGGAATGCCGTCCGAAGAGTGCGCAAGGCGCATGCCCCCACTAGTCGATTAGTTCAATAACATGTGGCCAGTATTGTGGCCGTAGCCGAGCATTTGCTTTCAATTTCAGAGCTGAAACACTTGCTGGCTGACACCTGAGCTGATGATTTTGGAGATGGTCTCTTGAAAGTGACCTGTCCGAGTATATCTTCCTTGTCCCCCATGTGGCCATCATGCTCCGGGGTAAAAGCAACCAGACTGCTGTCCATAGTGGTGTTAACCCCTTCGCTAGCAAGACCCCTTGCTGCTTGGCAGAACCCAACCAAATGGTTACTGGATGGTATTAGATCCTAAGTATGGCAATTGAAATCCTTATTATTAGGATGCATCTCTGCTTGGGACTGGACTTCCGGCTGGTCTGAACCCTCAGCCCAGGAGCTGGCACCATCGCCTGCACCACCAGACGGCCCTTCTCCAAAACATTTGACACCCGACAGCGAGATGCTCAGGACTGGCCTCCAAGTGAAAGGGTTGCACCACCATGCGGACCCTCATGACTGGGTTTTAGACATGTTTCAATGGTTTTGGTATGTCCTGGACGAAGACACGCCGAGCCCGGCCGGCCCCCTTCCCAACCCCTGGGCCCGGCCGGCCCGGGGCCGGTTCGATCCATAGTCCTGCAGGAAGAGTCCTGGGCCACAGCACCACACAGGCGAAGAACCAAGGAGAATTCCAATGCCTAGCCCAAGCACTCCATGGTGGTTTTAGGGGTCAATGTAGGTAAATATGGCATACATGGAGTGTCTAGGTGGGGAAGAAAAGATGATCCAGCCGTACCGAACCTCAGGTACGACTGGACCCGACGTTTTGGCACCTACAGAACGGTACCTGAGGTTCGCTACGACTGGATTTGGAGGGAATGCCTTCAAGGCAACCACCAGAATCCGCAAACCGAAGGTCTCGGAGGTTTCCGCAGACTCGTTGACTCGAGGGTGAAAAGAGTATACCATGTTCACCGGTTGCAGGGCAATTTTTTTAAGGAGGCTTCCGGATTTCCATTTCAGCAAGACTCGTGGTTTGAAAGCCGGACTCGCAGGAGAGATCCGTGGATGGTAAACTCACCACAACTTCTGACTTAGCGACTGCGCCGCCATTGCTGAGAAGACTCGCAATGTTGGCAGTTATTTCATTCGCTGGAAGGTGTATTGAAAATCACGACATTTCACTCTTTTGCATAAATTCCAACATTTGTTACTTGCAACCTTTACTTGGCATGATTGAGCCTACTGACCGGCATTGTTCAAGTGAACACCACCAATCATATTTTTCAAAAGGCGAACGATGTGAAGAGATGTGAACCTGACGGTCAATTGTGGCTTGCGGTTTGTGAACTGCTGCAGCATCGAGGGCTGATGAATTGGTCGAAACGTTCACATGGAACGCCTGACTGTCGCAGCGACTGGAGTGCATCCCGGGGCGGTCCACATGGAACGGAGTGCATCCCGGCCTCACAGCACGCTTCCCAAACTGGAGATCCAATTGAGCCGCACTGCCAGGTGAAGGGTTGCACATGTAGAAGAGCCGCACTTGGATACTGGGAGTTGGAGTGTGGAAAACATGGAATCGTCTTACAAACGGATATTCATGAAAAAAATCCATGCACATACTAGCTAAGACTATAGTTTGAATGTGTTGAATCGATCTCTATACATGAAATATAGAACGCCTAACAAGCGTTGATTTGTTCTTTCCGTTGGCTTCAACTGGGCGGACCGTTTCTCACGAGTTGGAAATGCAAGCGCGCGTTCCGTGAGGAGAACGTCCACTCGTAGGTGAGGAGGGAGAGGTTTGGAGCCTTGCAATCCAGATTCCCCGTGGACCACCGGGAGTCCTGGTAGGGAGTTGCAGGACAATCCCGTTCACCATAGCTGGATGAAATCGTTGTTTCCTTTGTTAGGATGCTACATTCTTGTGGAATCTCCAATGGGACAGACCAATCGATCCTGGATTAAGGGGAGGAGTTTCCAATCGATCCTGGGTCGTTCGATCCTTCTAACTCCTGGGGCTTTTGCTAGGGCCAGGCCCTGGCGGCTAGGCATGTCCATGGGACTGAAAATGACCTTCAGCTAACATTGGTACAGATGTTCTTATGTCCTTCACCTGAGCTGTGCTTCTTATGTCGAGCGACCCACGGCCGAAGGGCGAACCTCCGCACAACATGATGCACTCCCTGAAAGGATGACCAGTGGATGGGGCCAGCGCCCCCAAAAAGGATGACCAGTTTCTGGTACAATCCGATGACCCAGTGGTGTTCCACCTTCATGATTTCAAGGGGTTACTTGGTGTTTCTTGTTCGGGACGTGCGCATGCCGTAGAAGGTGACTGCGTTTTTGTTTTTTTTTCTGTGGACACCCGGAAGCTTGGCTTTTGGGGGTTCCGTCCAACTCCAAGCCAATGGAGCTATTTGATTCTGAGCGTGCGACACCAAAAGCTAAAAAAGCTGCCGCACTTATTTCTTGAGCCAAAGTTCAGGTTGGGTTGGTTTCAGTGCTCATGACTGACGTGTCATCTTCCAAAAAAAGGAAAGGGTGGAGCGGTGCTTAGGATTTCTCACTCCCCCTGATGTTATCAACATCACACCTTCTCAAAACTGCCGAGAGAATGGGAGCTGTCTGTTTCGTCAGACTCCCGATTCCCTCCAGTCACAGCAGTTTCAATGCCTAACCAAACAGGCATCTGGGATGGATCCTCTTCGATCAATCCCTCACCGGCCAGCGCCCGGGTCCAGCCGCCCTCGATGGTGCCGGTCTCACCCCTTTTTTTCATAGCCCTGCAGTCGGACTCGATAGCCCTGGCTCTCCTCACTCGCATGCCCCGAAGCACCCTCAGCCGACACCTCCACAGCAGCATAGGAGCGACACCCCGCCTCTGCCAGCGCAGCCCTTCCCCTTTCCACTGCTCGAGACCTCGACGGCTGATCTTCTCCATACCCACGCGGGCTTTGAGTCACCGTGCCAGGAGGTGGAAGTGGGTTCGAAGATGCCGAGCCCACATGTCCTTCAGTCTCTCTCGGAGGGAATCTCACATAGAAAAAACTGTAGCCCCTCCATTCATAGACATCCGCCAAATCCGAGTTGCGGGAATTGATCCAGTCATCCATGATCTCCTTCCTCTTCCAGGCTTCTCGAGTGCTGTTTCGATGGAAAGCCACTGTCACCCTCGTCGAAGCCAGTTTCTCAATCATGAAGGGCGTCCCCCTATGTAGGGGGTGGAAGGCTCTCACCCTGCTTTTCTTCAGCACACGAACCCACCATTCGCCTGCTCCGTCTCCACTGCCAAGGCACTCCCACCGGTCATTACCAGTGGGAGGAGTTGCAAATCGCTCCAGCCGCCACGGAGTGTCCGTGCCCAGTCCCAGATGCGGCCCCAGAGCACGAATAGCGCACACCCGAGGAATCCATGGCTGCGCGTGCGATGGGTCCGACAGGGTGCCAAGATGGCAAGTGTCGAGCGAACGATCGTCGGTCGATGTTGGGCCAGGTTCATTTTCCCTTGACCATCTTGACTTCTCTGTCCACCTACTTGGGTCAGGTTCATTTTCCCTTGACCATCTTGAATCTGTTCTTTTCTGGGTTGCGTTAGGCCTCTTGGTTGACTGGCATTCTGCCGTCTTGTACACACTGCTAGCTACGAAAGTGGCAATTGCTCCCAATGCAGTCACACACGCGATACGTGGAAGGCTTCCAACGTAAGGCATGGCAGCAAGCAGCCCCAGCGAAGCCATTGCAGCATATGCCACCTTTTTCAAAGCAGCACCATCCCCATCACCCTGTTGTTGTGAGTGACCCAACGAGGCTGCATCACGGAGACCAACAGCATTCCTGAATGCCAGCCAAGGTTGTGACTGAGTGATGGATTTCGTTAACAGGTCTGCACACAGCTCCGTTCCTGGGACGTGCTCTACATCCCAGAGATGGTGCTGAAGCCGTTCCCGAAGTACGTGACTTCTCAACCTCAAATGACGAGTCCTCCAAGGACCCGACGGAGCCTGAAGCAGCTGCAGGCCGGACATGTTGTCTCCCTTGAGCGTAAACGCTCCCTCTTTTTCAAGGATGTTCTGGTGCAGCACATTCACCACCGCACCAACACTCTCGCCCAAGGTGAACCCGTCGATATAGCCCAAAAGCTCACTCTCTGTAGTGCTCAGGGTGGCAAAAGCCTGGGACTTCGATTCCCAAGCTACCAGGCATCCACCCCACATAGCCATGATCCCTTGATGACCACGACCTCCAGCAGGAGCGAACGAGGAATCGGTCAGCACTTCCAGGCGAGCCAGCGACTGCCTACGGCCATGTCGGTCAAGCTCAGGCGAACAAGGTCCATATTCCAGCACCAGATCTGGGGTTGCAGCCAAGTATCCAACAACATGGTTCGCCAGCTCCAGCACACCCTTAGGGGATTTGGTTACCCTTGCACCCAAATAAGCAACAGCGAAGCTGAGATCAGGTCTTGTCCGAGTCGATAGCCACAGGAGTTCCCCCCACCAGAGTTTGACATTGCTTCACATCCGTGGGGTCTATGACTTCCTCGGGCTCAAGCTCAATCATCTTGGGAAGCGGTGAGTACCTCAGTGGAAGGTCAGGGTGCCGGGTCACAAGTTCTCGAGCATAGTCCGGCTGGCCAATCATGAGGTTTGCTCCATTCCACTTCATCTCCACTCCACAAAACTTCCTCCACTCCGACGAGACCACCCACCTCGGTGTAGAGCATCTCCAGGTCGACGCCAACTTCGTCAGAACGGCCTGTGCGACTGATTGTGGGCCCATGACAATGAAATCGTCCACGTAGGATAGAGCAAACCCCGATGTTTCACCCTCCTCCATGACGTTCACATAGTCCCCTTCTGCCCCATTCGCAGTCATCAATCTCCACACATTTGGCTCTGGCGTCGCATTGATCCAGTAGTGCACACCTGACTCCCACCACCGTAGACTGCGGAGAACATCATCTCTGTACGCCTGCCAGTCCGAGGGTGAGCTATCCAGACCATACACTGCTGCTTCTACCACCCAACGTGTGTCCGCAGAGATCAGTCCAGCTTCAACCAAAATCGCCGGGGGCTTGGTGACCATGAGCCGAGGTGACTTCCGAGGTGCCAACAAGAAGGCCGAGGAGACGTCAGTTATGCCTATCGACCACTGTTCATAAGCCGCCTTTCTCAGTGCACACCTCAGCGATCCTCCATCGATGCCGCTGGCATACAATTCAAATGATCTTCCTGCGGAGGGATTCACTTGTTTGTCCTCTTTCACAGCCTGAGAGTGTCCTGCTCGTCGTGCAGTATCCTCCACCAAGTTGCCGCGTAGGACTATTCTTGATCTCTTCTTTCCATCCGGTGCTTTGACCGTCGGCACCAGTTTCGACGGCACAACCAGCATCTCCTCGTAGCCCGGCTCATGACATAGATCTCGGACTGACACTGGCCGAACAGCCTTCGTGGTGCGTTCCAAGGAGTTCACCTCATACTCCAGTGAGGGAATCCAATCCTTCAGCTCCTTCTTCACCTGCGCCAAAGGGACAGTGTAGGTCTGTAATACGGCATGGACACTCAGAGGAGATTGCTGCTCACCATCAGGGCATTTCCCAACCACCCCTTCAGCCATCTTGGCCATTTGATAACCCAGGTCAAAATCCCTGATCTCTGTCAGTTCATTCTCCAGGGCCAGGACATTCTTCTCAAGGTAGTCCATCAGCGCTCCTCGCAATAGTCCATCCTCTTCACCCACCACCACATCCTTCAACAGGTCACTCCATAGCTGTTTCCAGCCCCAATGTTCTTCATGCATCCACCGTGTCAGGTTATAGGCTTCCTCAACTCCACACTCCATGGTGCCATTCACAGCCTTCTCCTCAAGCCGCTCCAACGGGGTTTCGCAGAATTCACAGCATTCTCGTCCTTCCATCTTCTTCATTGAGCCCCCATCCGCACATTGTAGACCACACTCTTTGCATACAGCAGAGAAGGACTCCCCCCCAGTCCAGACCTGGACTGGTTCTCCCCCGGAAGTAGCATGTAGTCGATGAAGTCCAGGATCGGGCGATGACCTTGGAGGCGGAAGTTGGGGAAGCATTGGTTCCATTGGTTGCTTCCCTGTCAATCTGTGCTGTGGCCTTTCAGGATCTGGAACCATTTGCAGTTCTAGAACTGCTCGTTCTGCGCCTGGATCTTGTTGAACCACCACCCTAGCATGTTGGATCTGCTCACCCTCCATCAAGACATAGCCCTGTGACATG